TGAACCTGGGAGGATAAAAATGGTCTCTTATAAATCAAGTTCTTAAAAACTATATAAGGAATACATAGATACACACCTGTGCTTAAAATGATAAGCAATGCTAATATCCATAGAATAAAAACTCAAAGTGCCATTTGTATTTCCCTTCCCATCTTTATATCAACACACTGTCTTTAGTTTCCATCAGACCATTTTTATAAAATGAAGAACCAGGGCATAAGGATTGGAAGAAGGCTTATTAACAAGTTTCAATATGCAGATGGCATAACCTGGCTTGCTGATGAATATCAAAGACTCCCGTGTGGATTGCAACTCAATGTCAAGAAAGAAAACAGAAACCTCACAACTTGAGAAATAGACAACACCTTGATAAATGGAGAAAAACTTGAAGTTGTCAAGGATCTTATTTTACTTGGATCTACCATCAACACAAATGCAAGGAGTAGTCAAGAAATCCAATGACGGTATTGCAGTAGTTAAAATGTTCCTTTGGGGGACTTGTCTGACCTGAGTCTTAGTATTTTCAATCTTATGACTGTGAAAGCTGAAGGCTGGAGAAAAATTGATACATTTGAATTATGGGTTGGTGGAGAATATTGAAAAGTACCATGGCTACGAGAACTGAAACATGAGAATTTTGCAGCCACTGAAAATTAGATGGAGGACCAGTCTCCCCTGACACACATGGGGTCACCAGGAATCCAAGGCAGCTGGTCTGCTGTATTTTACATTCTATCAGATGTCATTTTAAATCTACGGAATTTCCTGTATTATTTTTTGTAAGGCAGTTCTGTTAGCCACATATTCTCTGTATTTGTTCCTTTGGGAATGTATTTACTTCACTTTCATTTATTTTTAGCAGGCAATTCTTGCGTGGCACTTTAATATGCTCTTCCACTACCTTCTGGTCTCCAATGTTTCTGATGAGGTGTAAGCTATTCACGTTATGTATGATACTTCCAAGAGTTTCTCCTTTTCATCCGTTTGACTCTGAAAGTCTAGGAGACTGAATCTCTCTGCGCTTATGCTACTAGGAAACCACGGAGGTCCTTGAACAAATGCAGTAAACCTAGAGATTTTGACCATTATTTCTTTTCATCTTTTTCCTGCACATGCCCTTTTCTGTGACTTCATTATGCGTATGTTGGTAAACATGGTGGTGTCCGAAAAGTCTTAGACTCTAGCTTTGTCTTTTTATTTTCCATCCCAACTGGTTGATTGCTATGGCTCTATCTTCATGTTGGCCATTTTGTTTTCTGACAATTCAAATCTGCCATTAAGTTACTACTGAATTTTTGCTATTGTACTTCTAAACTTCAGAATTTTTATTTCCTTTGTAATAATTCCCATTTTATTGATATTCTTATTTGATGAATCATTGTTTGTCTTTAATAAAAGATGGCTTTCTTTAATTTTTTAAGATAATCGCTTTGACTGCTTATTTTCTAAATATGGGTGATGGTAGTGGGGAGGGGGGACGCTTTGTAAAGTTCTTGG